CATCAATCCTTGAGAGAAAAAGATCTCAAACTCGATTAGAGAGCAAATCCATTGATTCACCAACTCTAAAGAGCACTTGGTTCATGTTTTGGTTGGCGGTTGTGTTCATTACTCTTGGAGCTTTGCTCCTAGCCGGCTAGAGCGTCGTTCGTGTAGCTTGCTAACTTGTGTGGTAGCCCTAGAAGGTTTGTAACTATCTCTTGAAGCTAGTAATCTCACCCCTCATCTCAAGAGTTAAGTCTCTTGACTTGAGAATGAGAAAGGGTTGCAAAGCCCTAAGCCTTAGTGGCAAACCTCAACAACGCGGACTTAGGTAAGCCTTGGTGGTGAGCTGAACCACAGGATAATTTTTTGTGTCACCGTGTGCTTGATTTACATTCTTGTCATTTATATTGTTGTTGAGGTGATTTCTAGGGTTTGTGGCCGATCTACCTGCTTGTGCTTCTCCTACCACTTCTAGCTATCGATCTGTGATCTATACAGCTGCAGGAAGCTCAGTAATTTCTTCGATCCAAATTTTAATTGATAGATTTTGAACTATGAGTCAAAGTTGTCTGTAGGTGCGATAGTGCCGCTGTTTTGGCTCGGTAGTGCCGCAACGCGGCAGTGCCGCGGGCCAAGAGCGGCAGTACCGCAGGTGAAATTTGACATTTGTTTGTTTTAACAGGCATATTCAACCCCCCTCTAGGCTAACCAGAGATCCTACACAAATGGAGCCAGAGCAAGTCAATCCTACCGCAAATAAAATTGGTGGCCGATGGAACTCAATGTGTCAACATGTATGGGTGTGCAAGGCCAAAATTTACCTGTTGTCGCTGTCTTCCATCTCCCCTATGGAGGGGCGCAGCTGTGCAGGTGACCCAGACATCAGGGTCACTGCATCGCTGAGCACCACAACTCCCACCTGGCACCAGGTACCTGCGTCTGCACCGCGCATGCCAGATGCCTCCCGCCCGCACGTCGCCCGCCTCGTGCCCTCATGCTGGCCACCTCACACCCGCCCGCCGCCTGCCTCACGCCCGCACGCTGGCCACCTTGGCTCACGCCGCGCCCGCCTGCACCTGCACCGCCGCCGCTAGCAACCAGTTGCGGTAGGTCTCGTACAAGTATGCGGTTGAATGGACCTAAGGGCTGGACCTTATCCATAGGGGTAAATATGTCCATACGCAAATATGGTAGCCATACTAACTGCAGGTGGGCCCAAGGACGCCAATTACGTCCATAATGGCAAGCTTCAGACACTTGAGGAATTATAATGGTGAATCTCCAAATACTTAATTGTAATGGCAAATCTAAAAAAACTAAAAATTGTAATGGCTTCAATCCAAATAACCTGATATATATTCATTAGGATTTGGGGTCCCTAGAAATCATGGGCCCTATTCCCACGCACCACTCGCACACTCCTAGGCTTGGGCCTAAGGGTGCACAGCGCATGGAGCGAGCGGGCGGGCGTGGGTGGCGTGGGCGAGGGTGAGGTCTAGACGGGCGAGCGAAGCATTACCGTTGCGGATATAATATAACACTCCCTCTGTATCAAATTATAAGACGTTTTAGCTTCTCTAGATTCATGATTTTTGCTACGCATCAAGATATATATTATGTCTAGATACGTAATGTAGCACCCGATTTTAAGAACAAAACCAGATATACATCATATGTGAGCCCAGGAAGTCAAATCTCACATATAGCTATAAATAAGAGTAATATCAATAGACAATGCTCAATATATAATGTACTTAGTATAAAGAATATAACCTTAGATAGCTAACAGCGGAAAGACAACTCTGATCTTCGGGTGAAGACTCTAATTCCACAGGGACAACTGACTGGTTGATCACAAGCCTAATTTCTCCAAACTCTAGCCATCTAGTACTCATCCGGGATTTTTATCCAATTAATTAAAAAAAATAAAACAAGCGTAAGTACATGTCGTACTCAACAAATATAATATGGGGTTCATGAGGCTTAAAAGGATGACACTGGTCTGGTTAACTGCGATTAGCTTTTAATGAGTCATCTTTTAGCAATTGGGTGGCAACAATTTTATCACAAGCCCATATAAACATATGATCAGGAAAACGTGAATAATGAATAGCATAAACAATTAACCATTAATGAGCATATTTATCATCAATATCATCGGTGTTTATCATCTATTCTGTAAGGGTTCCAATGCCACTCGTGACCGTGAGCACGACTGTTATAACAGTTTTACACTCTACAGAGGTTGTACACTTTCACTGTGAGTCATGATTTACCCTTTCGCATATGGTGATCAGCCTCTTGACCCACTACCAAGAAAGGTCGGCAGGGCTCACTATAAAGCTTTTTAAAGGTTCATCTAACAACTTAGGGCCATTAGATTTATTCGGCAAACAGATATAGGAACCCCCTGTCGAATGGCACAATTTCATCACGGCAATACACATAAGAGTAGAGGCTGTCCTATACCCGATTTGTCAAGCCATTCTTATGCCAACAAAGGTAACCTCTAACAAGCTAGAAAATATCCTCATACTTGACTAAAGCCAGAGCCATGTAGCCCTCACAACTGTACTGTAAGTCTCAGATGATCACTTATAGATAAGTCTTTAGGGAGAGGAATCTAGAGCACCATAAAAACAGCCCAATGCTCTAGCCCCCTTATTCTATATTGCTAAAAAACATCTTTTAATGTTTATTGCATATACCATTAGTTAAGTTACAAGATCATAGCTTTAGTTGAGCACTAGCATCATACTGCCCAATACAATAACCCATAGGAATTAAGGAATCCAAGATATTAAATAGCTAGGAAAATTACTACGGTTACCAAGGTAGACACATGCATATGATTAAAATGATATTAAGGTAAATAGGACAACAAGAAAGATCACATGCTATATTTGCCTTAAACTCTGGTCTTCTTCTAGTGAATTGTAACCTCCAAAGGATTTCTTCTAGATCGCCAACTTTTTCTATGTCACCAACGCAAAGCTCACCGACTGGACATGATCATAAAGCACCACACAAGCATCCATGCAATCGTACATGAAGGAAACAATAGAACTAAATTAGAATAGTACACCAAACAGATGAACACAACAAACGAAAAGGTTTTAAAGATGTTCTACACGTTACTATGAACACACAGACATGAAAAGCACGCTAATCGGAGATACAGTGAACAAGATACAACTACCGTTAGATTCGTTTTAAAGAAGAAAAGAAAAATTATAAGCCTCATTTATTTTATTTACAAATCTAGTTGCACAATCATTATTCAAATTAGGATTTAAACCATGAAATTTTAGAACTCTTGACATGAAAAATTTTGATACTAATGTGTAGATTTCGTCGTTACGGGTCAAATCGGAGCTAAAACGTAGATTTTATGGCTATAACAAGGTCAGTGGCACTTCTGTAAATAGCTAGAAATTTATTTTCGAATTTAAAATAATATAATCAGAATTTAAACCAAGCTAAGGACCGCGGGCGTGATAAAGAAAAAGGGCAGGGGCTCTTTAAAAAAGGTAGGTACGACGGGTTCAAATATCTAAAACCAAGGGATTCTTTAGCAAAATGGCAGGCGAATCAGTATCTTCTAATCTGGGCCGTGAATCTCAGATCGGGCGGGCACGATGTGTTGGGAAGATTTGGCCGCCGAAACAGTGGCCATGCGGCAGTTGCCATGGGCGGACTTGGCCAACCTCGCCGGAGTTCACGTAAAACGGCCTACGGCCACGACAGAGTGAACCGATAGCACCAGGAGGTAGAGGAGAGCATGGCGAACTCACCACGATCGATTACCGCGGCGTGGAGTGAACGGAGGCGGCGCGCGGCGCATCGGGGCGGACGACGTCGACGGCGGCGCTGCAAGCTCGAGGCAGTGGCTGTGCTAGGGTTATGCGAGGGGCGGCGGGTGCTCGAGTGGATGCGACGGACACGACCCACTATTTATGGGATCGGAAGGCTTGGTCCACACGGCAAGGCGCGGTGGCGTGGGTAGCGCGGACTCCTCAGCGGTGGCGGAGTCCGACGCAAGGACGAGCGCGAGGCAAAAGAAGGGACTGACAAGGCGGGGCCGGGCTGTCGGTGACTAGTAACGGCAGGGCCGGTGCAGCAGAGAGACGAAGCAAGGAGGCGCGCTGCCACTGAGTCGGGCCAGAAGCACCGACTGGGCCTGTGGGTGAAGTGGGCCGGAGCCTCAACGGAAAGATGGGAAGGGAGTGGGCCTGCGCGGGAAGAGCTAAGGGAGAGGAGGAGAGAGCGGGCCGCGGGAGAAAAAGAGAAGCAGGCCTTCGGGCCTAAGGGGAGAAGGGAGGGTTTTCTTCTTCTTTTCCTTTTCCATTTTCTTTTCTATTTTTCTTTTCTTATTTCAAAAATCAATTTCAAATATGAACTAAATTGAGTTTGAATACGGTTTAAAATACACTTCAATTCAAATAAAAATGAGCAATTTTGGTAAGTTTTCCAAAAATAAATTTTACAACTTTTTAAATTCTTTTATTTTCAAATTTTCTTTTCTTTTATTTCAAAGACATTTCCAACTCATTTCCAAAAGCAATTTAAACCATTCTGAGTTTTAATCAACCCCACTTAACCAAATAAATCAAATGCACCGGCATGTATGCACATGTTGCTACTCCTATGGTGAATTTTAATTTAATGAAAAATTTTATTTCCTAAACTTTGGTGAGCACAAAATACAAAATTAAATCAATTTATATCTTTTTCAAAAAGAGCAAATTTTAGGGTGTTACACGTAGTAAAAACTATGAACAAGTGTCAAAACATCTTATTATTTGGCACGAAGCAAGTAATTGAAGAAAAACTCATCCTCCGCACCAACCACCAACCCATCTGCCGACAGGTCAGAAGTCAACTCGGATCCAGTGCAAGTCGTGGGTACCCCTCCAAGGGCTCCGCACTCCAGCTTGTTTGGTCGTGAACAAATCCGTCGACCGTCGTTCCTCCTTCGTCTCTCACACACATGACACGCACACCGGTCGAGAGGCATGACTGGCATCGAAACACTCGTGGTTTCTGCCGTTGCATCGCAGGTAGCTCGCAAGATCTCCGATTTCGCAAACGAAGAGATCAAGCTATGCTGGAACTTCCACGGCCACCTCGAGTACATGAAGAAGACGCTGTCCAACATCCAGCCCGAGCTGAAGCGGGCGGAGGACAATTCCTTTGGTAGTGATAGGGAAAGTGTCCGGGAGTGGCTACGCCTGATGAAGGCCGTCGCCTATGACATCGAGGACATCCTGGACGAGTACTACTACCACAACCCTGGTGAGCAATTTGACGAGATCTGCTGCTGCATCGCCTGTGCTGGGAAGGTAATATTCATAATTTTCTTTGCTTCTATTTTCAGTAGTCAGCCTTAACAAGGTGACATAATAATACAGTTTTGCTAGGGAAAATTTTAAGAACTAATATAACATTAATACCCCAGGTCAGGGGTGTGTTAAAACGAACTAACATCTCCAGGCTAATCATTTGTCTAAGCTCTGTATCAAATACCACCAGATCCTGATTTCGCACATGATTCATAAACGGCTTTCAGCACTGGACAATCTGAAGTGCTCTAAGCTTCTAAGTATGTCTATCTAGTGCACAAGTGTTGTGCGGCCTAATTCCAATCCTATTACAGTTCTAAGAGAAGTCAAATGCAAAAATGAAATCCTAAAAATATATGAATGCTTAAATATAAAGGGAGTGATCGAGTGAAGGCTCAGTTATCACTGTATCAGAGAGTTGGTGCTTCCCATCAGTAGTCGTTGCATTATTTTTTTTTGAACCAGGAAAACAGCAGAGGAAGCCCCCACTGTAAGATTTTATTAAAACACAAAAACAAAAACTGAGCCAAACAAACAGAAAACACTTCAGCTAAGCCCTAGCAAGGCTAGAACAAGAAGAAAGACAAAGAACCACTAAACACAAGAATCAACCCAGGAGAGAAAAACAGATCGCTTGTTTTCAGAAATCCTATAAGCTTGAAGTCGAGCTTCATCTTTGAGAGATCTTCTCCAAGAAGAGAAGGAAGGAGGTCCTCTCATGAAAATGAGGTTATTGCGCTGCTTCCAGATTTGCCATGCAGAGATAATTAACACTTCCATGAAGAAAGGATATGGAAAAGCTTGTTTGGCTTGTATCATCATTTGTAGGAAATCTGTCGTAAGATTCCACTGAATGCCAAGGAACTGCCAACAATGTTGGATGAAAGAACAAGTGAAGAAGAGATGGAAAGCCGTTTCTTCAACATTCATATTGCAAAGGACACAGTTGTAGTTGTTGCCTTCCAGCTTGTGCTTTTTCCTACTAAGGATGTTCCTAGTGTTGAGTCTGTCCATTAGTAGGAGCCAGGAGAAAACTCTCAGCTTGTTGCAACATTTGGACTTCCAAATCCACAGGAAGGGAGCATGGGGGGACACATTCTTGTATTGGAAGTTGTAAAATTTAGAAGAAGTGCATGTGCTAGTTCCCCATATATAGTGCCATGTGTCCTTTGAATGTTCCTGCACTTGAATATTCTGCAGTAGGTCCTGGAGTTCCATGTACTCCTGGTGGGCTTGTTCTGACAGTGGTAAATGAAATTGAGCCATCACTGTGTTGTTCTCTAGAAACTTAGCCACTGAAATTCGTTTATCTTTTGCATAAGAATATAATATGGGGAATTTTTCTTGGAGAAGGTGGTTGTTCCAAACATCAGACCAGAAGAGAACCGTTGAGCCATTTCCAACTATGCAGCTTGAAATTCCTCTGAACATGTCACAAAGTTTCAGAAGATCCCTCCACCAAAAGGAACCTTTATCTGTGGTAGCATGGGGTATTTGACCATTTTGATAGTGAGCATTCCAGACAAGCTTAACCCAAGGGACATCTTTCTGGTTGTAGAATTTATCCAAGTGCTTCATTAACAAAGCAGAGTTTTGGATCCTCAAGTTGATTATTCCAAGCCCACCTTTCTTCTTCGGCTTACAACATTTCTTCCATGCTACCAGTGGTTTCATTTTTGCATTGCTCTCAGAACCTCTCCACAGGCAGTGCCGTCTAGCTCTATCAATATATTCAAGAACAGCAACAGGGACTTGAAGAGTACACATAGCATATTTAGGGAGGGAGGACAGAACAGAGTTTACCAATTCTAATCTTCCAGCATGGGTTAGAAAATTAGAAACTGCGGAGAGCCTCCTTTTAGTTCTATTCATGATTGGGCCATAGTGCTCAACTCTTGGCTTTGTAGTTCCCATTGGCAAGCCGAGATATGTAAAAGGTAGGGATTCCAGCTTGCATCCAAAAACTCCTGCCAGTAGCTGAGCTTTGTCATTTGTCGTGTTGAGGGGTACCATGCAAGATTTTCCATAGTTAACTCTCAAACCTGTGGATTGAGAAAAGGATTCAAGCAACCCTTTTAGAATGAAAAGTTCCCTTTGAGAGGCTTTCATAACCAAGATGGTGTCATCGGCATACTGAACAATTGGATATCTAGCACCCTCATAGGCAGGAATTGGCAGCTCAAACAGCCCCTCCAAGTGGGCCTTGTTGACTATGCACTGTAAGAGGTCAGCAGCCATAACAAATAGAAGAGGTGAAAGAGGGTCACCCTGCCTCACCCCTCGCTTGCATTAGAACTGTTTGCCAGGAACTCCATTGAGAAGAATAGCAGAAGAACCAGAGCCCAGGATTTTTTGTGTCCAGAATCTTCATTTATCATCAAAACCCATATGCTTCATCATTTCAAGGATGGTGTTATGTTCAATAGTGTCAAAAGCTTTTGTGAAATCTAGCTTCAAGATGATTATTTCCCTTTTGGATTGCTGACATTGATGAATGTATTCATATGCCCAAGCCAAACAATCCTGAATTGTTCTAGACTTAATGAATCCATATTGATTTGTATGGATCAGTGTAGTGATTACTGATTGGACTCTATTTGCCATTAGCTTGGTGATTACTTTAAGCACACAGTTCATCAGAGATATGGGTCTAAAGTCATTTACATTTGTTGGATTGTTGACCTTGGGGATCAAAGTGATGAAGGAATTGTTGATGGCCTGAATGTTCAAATCACCACTGAAGAAGTCAAAGCACAAGCTGTAGACATCTTCCTTTATAATGTGCCAGCAGGATTTGATGAAGAGCCCATTAAACCCGTCAGGGCCAGGAGATTTGTCAGCTGGCATTTGCTTTACAATTTTATCAATGTCCTCTATTGTGAAAGGAGATGACAGGTGCTCCATGTTGTCGTTCCTTTGAACCAGTTGCTCAAGATTATATAGCATGGAGGGTGTTGTGGAACAACCCATTCTACCTTTGTATTCTTCCAGAAGAATAGCAGCCTTCTCATGATGATCAAATATGTCTCTGCCATCTTCTGCAACCAAGCTAGTGATAGTGTATATACGATATCTTTCAGTAGCGGCAGCATGAAAGAAACTTTCATCTCCAAATTTGGTCCACCTGATGGTGTATCTCTTTTTCCAATATTCCTTTTTGTATCTTAGCAATTTTAAGATATGCTCCTTCAAAATGAGTCTGAAGTTGTACTCCTGTAAGTAAAGAGGTCTTTGTTCTTCCAAAGCATCTAGAGTTTCCAAGACAAAGTTACAGTCCTTGATCGTACCGCTAAGATTAGATAAATTCTTACTCCATTTCTTAAGCTTCATCTTTGTAAGAGACAAATGCTCCGTAGGTGCTAGTCCTCCATTGTGTTTTGGTCTTCCGTGGACTCCAACCCAGCACATCTTCTCGTCGCTTCAACAATGCATACAACAACAACAACAAAACGTTTAAGTCCCAAACAAGTTGGGGTAGGCTAGAGTTGAAACCCAGCAGAAGCAATCAAGGTTCAGGCACGTGAATAGCTGTTTTCTAAGCACTCCTATCTAAGGCTAAGTCTTTGGGTATATTCCATCCTTTCAAGTCTCATTTTATTGCCTCTACCCAAGTCAGCTTCGGTCTTCCTCTGCCTCTCTTCACGTTACTATCTTGGCTTAGAATTCCACTACGCACTGGTGTCTCTGGAGGTCTCCGTTGGACATGTCCAAACCATCTCAACCAGTGTTGGACAAGCTTTTCTTCAATTGGTGCTACCCCTAATCTATCACGTATATCATCGTTCCGAACTCGATCCTTTCTTGTATGACCGCAAATCCAACGCAACATATGCATTTCCGCGACACTTATCTGTTGAACATGTCGTCTTTTCGTAGGCCAACATTCTGCACCATACAACATAGCAGGTCTAATTGTCGTCCGATAAAACTTGCCTCTCAGCTTCTGTGGTACCCTTTTGTCACATAGGACACCAGATGCTTGGCGCCACTTCATCCACCTTGCTTTGATTCTATGGCTAACATCTTCATCAATATCCCCGTCTCTCTGTAGCATTGATCCTAAATATCGAAAGGTATCCTTTCTAGGCACTACTTGACCTTCCAAACTAATATCTTCCTCCTCCCGAGTAGTAGTGCCGAAGTCACATCTCATATGCTCAGTTTTAGTTCAACAATGCATCAGCATAATAATAGTTCACATAAATACATCTTAAGTGGTCTAGGTAATGTAAATCGCCAAGAGTAACAAGTAAAGATGTTTATGGACAAATACATGCTATTCTCTTAGAATTAATAATTTCCTTAGGCCTTAAATCTTCAAATAACATTTTGCAATTAGTTCATCTTAACAAGGATAATTCTATTTATGGTTCAATGGAATTTCTACAGAGGAAATGAGGGGCCATTTTTAACTTACAACAGCTATTTTCCAAGATGCCAAATTAACCATTTCAATGTATTTGAAATTTAATATGATTTGTGTAAATTTTGGCTTTACTAGAAATTGCACAGGGTTTTCTATAAAAGAAAATAGAAACCGTTTTAACTTACAAAGACCTCTTGCGAAATTCCGAACTCTATAATTTTTAGCTTCACTAATAGGAAGGAGCACTAAAAATTCTAGAAAGGAAAGAAAAATCATGTTTAACATACAAATCTCTATCGATTCTAGATTTCTAGAATCAGAGAAATATAGTTACACAAATTTGAGACATTAGGGAGAAAATTACCATTTTATGAAAACTTTCACTTCATGTATAAGAGATAATATCAAAATTCCCACCATATTTATTGAGTGAAGTTATGGGTTATCAACTTCTCACATTTTCCCCATTTCAAAATAAAAAAACATGGACCTAATCTTAGTTAAATCCTGATATTAATGTGAAGGTTGGCTTTCCCTGAGCGAATTCTTAAATTTGCAGGTGCCGTTACTATTCTCAGTGTCGATGTCAAATCCAGTGTTGATGAGAATTTGCATGATTCACAAAATGAAAACTGAGAGGCAGAGGTTACAAAAGGAGTTAGTGGCACCTAGTGCATATGGTTTGTGTGAAGTCATAAACTCACCAGGAAACAGTTTTGAAGAGAAGGAAACAACTTCACAAGCAAATGGTACTGCAATAATTGGGCGGGACAAGGACGTGGAGAATATCATGGCTATGGTAAGGGTAATAGACTACCAGATAGTTACCATACTTGGAGCTGTGGGTTTAGGGAAAACAAGTCTTGCTCAACTAGTTTACAACCATAATGAAACAAGCAAAATTTTCAGAACACAAAAAATGTGGATTCATGTGCCTAAGGGTAAGGCAAGTATCAAATATATTGGGACATATATGATATCACGCGATGGTGGGAAGATCCAAGAGAATATGACAGAAGAAGATATTATGAATGGTGTTGGTGCGATGCTAAACAAATATGATAGCTACCTAATTGTACTGGACGGATTGTGGAGTGCAAGTGAAAAGGCATTGCAAAACTTGAAGGACATGTTAACAACAGGGAGCGAGAGAAATGTCAAGGTCATAGTGACCACTCACAGTGAAAAAGTGGCTGCATTGATGTCTACTACAAAACTACCATATAAACTGGATACTTTATCTGAAGCTAATATTCTGACCATATTCTCTCAAAGGGCAATGGCAAGTAATGATGAAATGGAAATTCTTACCCGACATCCACTTTTCTGGAACATGCTTAAGAAGTATGGAAAGAAAATTATTGAAAGGTGTGAAGGCACACCATTAGTAGCTAACTTCCTTGGATCAGTGGTCAGTTCTGGACGACTATCGCGGCAATGGGGCGATTATTGGGCACCTGCAAGCATTGAAGAAATGTGGAAAGTAGAAGAAGATTTTGATAACAACAGATGCAACATTTCATTGCTGCTTCCATCCCTCAAGCCCATATACTATAATATGCACAATGAGTTGAGATTATGTTTTGTCTATCTCTCAATCTTTCCTAAAGGATCTGCCATAGACAAGAAAAAGCTTATCCAACAATGGCTTGCACTTAACATGATTGAGCCCAGCAAACATGGGAACTTGCGACGTGAGGAAACTGCTGAGGATTATATCGATCAACTTAAAGCAATGTATTTCCTTCAGGTGTGGGTACAACTCTTTTTTTTTTCTTAAACTATTTTAGCACAGCATTAATGAAGCACATTATTCTTGTTCACTTGATGTAGTTAAGACCTATAGTACTGCATGGTATAAAATATCAAGGCACATGACATAAAAATAAACAACAATTAACTAGGTTTAATGTGGTACATACAAGAGGTCCAGGTCTAATACTAATGAAGCCTATCTATAGAGAGCATGAGTTTGACCAATCCCGCCCATGCAAGTCATGAAGGAAATATAATCATATACAAGATGGCTAGAGACACAAGTTTAACTGACCAACAATATTTATGAAACCTCAAGGCAAGCTTCCAGAGGTTGATAATAAGGGCTTGGAAGAGTAATGATACAAGATCAAGTAGTAGAAACAGCTGTATGTTTATTTTCTTACAATTCAGCCTTTCAAAGTGCAGTTATATAGTAATATCCATTTAATGCTGCAACATATTTACTTGGATTTCATTTTGCTCATACTGTATATAGCTAATATCTGCATTTCTTTATTCAGACTACCGCCCAACATTCCCCAGTAAATGAGGAGGTACTCCATGTGCATAACTTGGCTTATGAACTTGCTAGGTCTGTTGGCAGCAAAGATATCCTAGTGATTTCAGATGCTACAACTAAGAAAGAAGCAAACAAGAGCAGCTACAATCATGATTACCGCTACGCACAACTCTCGACACCTATCCTACTGTCAGTAGATCCAAAGGATTGCATTTGTAAAGCAAGGTCACTAATTTTGAAAACTCTAGAATCAGAAAGGGTTTTTGTTAGTCAAGTAATATCAGAAAACAAATATTTGAGAGTACTGGATATCAGGGGGTGTTCCATTAGCGAATTACCTGGTTGCATTTTCAAGTTGAAACATTTGAGGTACCTTGATGCTTCAGGATTGCTCATTACAGTACTCCCACCAGAATTGGGTAATCTGGTGAAGCTAGAAACACTGGATGTTTCAGGAACCAATCTGAAGTTGGTGCCCAGTTGTATCAGCAGTTTGAAAGTCCTCAACTATTTGAACCTGAAAGGGTGCCAGAACCTTCAACAGCTACATAGTCTTGATGAGCTCCATGAACTATGTTATTTGAATTTGTCAGGCTGCCTTAGTATCAGAAACTTACCAAAATCTCTTCGGAAGCTTAAGAACCTTTGTTTCCTGAACCTTTCTAAGGTTCATGTATTGCCTGATGGGTTACTACAATCACTGGACAGCCTCGAATCTTTGGAGGATTTGATCTTAAGTGGTTTGGAAGTCAAAAGTCTACCTGATATTTTTGGGCAGTTTTCATCACTTCAGTTTTTGAATCTGTCACAGTGTTCTACACTGCAACAATTACCCCAGTCATTCTTTGAACTTCAGAGTTTAAAAGGTCTGGATCTCTCATTTTGCTCTGGTATTGAAGAAATCACTGAATCATTTGGAAGGCTTTACTCTCTTACATCTCTAAACCTTTCTGGCTGCAGCAGCCTTAGGATTTTGCCAACATCTTTTGGGGACCTTATTCATTTGGAAGAACTCAATCTATCATACTGTACTGCACTTGCAGAATTGCCGACAACATTTCGTAGCCTTGAACGTCTCCATGTTCTTAAACTACATAGATGTGTGCATCTTATAGAACAAGTCAAAAATCTCACCAATAGTTTAGAGCATCTAGAGCTGACATCTTGCAAGGATATCAATTTGCAATCCAATTTTTTTAGCTACTTAACAAGACTCAGGGTATTGGACCTCTCTAATTGCTCTCAGATGGAGATCGTTATTGGTGCCCCTGCAAATTTGGAAGTTCTAATCCTAGCAAATGTTGCTCTTCCATTGGATCTTAATTTTCTCACTCAGTTCCAGAACCTTAAGAAACTGGATATTACTGATGTTATATTGAGTACAGCCAGTGCAGCACTGTCAAATCTGCAAAATGTCTTCACCTGTATGCCTATGCTCAAGACCGTTGAGACAAACAATTTGGATATTTATTCCATCCTACCATCAAGGATTAAAATCTCAAGAGTGATGGATTCCCTCACTGGTGTGGAAAGTTCAAATGTCAGAGACAGAGAAAATACTGCTGGAAGGAGCACTCCTTCAGGTACTAACTTGCAGATAATTTATCAATGGTAGTTACGCTTATGCTTGAAATGTATCAACTCAATGGACCTTGTATTATGTGCAGGTATACTACAAAAGAATTGCATTGGACAATAGAACAGTTTCTATTTTCTGATTAAGATGTGTGAATAATTAATTACCATCTGAGACCAAACTAAAATCCAGAAAAGTCTTATATTCAGTTTCAAACGATTCTAAGATCACTCTTAGCCATTTTGAAACTATCTGCAAAATTTCTTAAACCTCTGAAATTCCAAAATATAATGTTTATTCTTTTAACATATTTTGTCGACAATTCTGTCCCTAATGCAGTGGTAGAAGCAGGACGACCAAATACTTCTGCTGAAGGATCAGATCTTATTGGACACTCAAGTTCAAGTGGTGAAGAGATAACTGAAGATACTTCTATGGAGGCTGCAAATAGAGACCTGGCCTCTAGCACAAACTCAGATGCAACTAAAGTAGATGCGCTTGAAGATTATGCTCAAGTAAGTTTAGTTTTGTCCTCTGATATTATTGGCTAGTAATTAGCTGGATTTAGGTAGAATGGAAATCCTGGTCATGGGAACAGTACTGCGAGTTACTTTCATGTGGGGCCAGTAGATTTGTGAAATTAGAGATTATATTAGATCTGATCGAGTTGTTAGCTATTTCCTTAACTAGAAGCATACCCCGCGCGTTGCTGCGGGAATTGCGGATTAGTGGATTGCGTGGTATGATGACGTGGACAACAAAATGCTTACGTGTCTTGCTGACGTGGACATTACAATTGCATGTGCTAGTGGATTTTAATTGTATGTGATAGTGCATTGTCTAGTTGGACAACTTGCATGTTGAGATAAATAGCTAGTAGAGTTTTGCTTAGTGGATTTTAATTGTATGTGATAGTGCATTGCCTAGTTGGACAGCTTGCATGTTGAGATAAATAGCTAGTGGGGTTTTGCTTTATAAAAGTATAAGATAAGATTCTAGAGATTAATTTCTTAAGCGTCAAGTCTCTTTTCTATCTTTGCCCTTGTGGTTGGGCCGCATCAATGTTGACAAAGGCAACTCATGTCTTCATCCTGGTTTTACTGAAAGCACCAAAGATCTCGCGAAGTATTAGAGGGCAACAAGAATATAATATATATGATCTAGAAGCTGCATAGGAATCAATGGATACAGATGATTCAATGAGTAATTTGCGACCTTCATATCCACCAACCCTTTTTATACAACCCACAGAAATTATGAAAAGAAATGCCTCAGGTACTAACAAGGTTTTGCTGGCTGTACTAACTAGTTAAGCTCGTACTGCTTTCTTTGTGGTGTTCCACAAGTTTTCAGCAGTATGGGATTGAAAAACTGCCTAAAATTTAGGAATATTAGAATTTTGATTGTTTATTAAATAGAGATGTTAGACAGTAACCATTCTGCAGATATAGAAGTAGAGATGATATTATACATCAAGAAAAGGTGAAAATTTCATGTTTCTCAATTTATCTGTAGGCCCACTGGCATGTTTTTTGACCAAAATGTTTGCCCATGTCGCTTAGGAGATTTTGATCCCTAGGCTTAATTGCAAATAAAACATACCTAGGGGTCTAAAACTTGTACCAACCGAAAAAAAAACTAACAATGAAATCTTCAGCTTTTCTAGTTTTATCCAACCCTAGAAAAATGTAAACATTTTAACTGAATTATGTATCAACATTCAGATACTTCCCTTACTAAAGTACTTCTGCAGATTAGCAATTCTTAACCTAACATACCTTCATCAGTTGGGATCACATGGCACTCAATTAGAGTTTTGCATCTTCTTTTCTTTTAAACTTGCATCATTCATCTTAAACTGCCGTGCATCCACTGAAATTTGTATTTCTTCTTCAGCAAAACATAAATGGCGAACAAAAATTACAAGATTGTGAACATCAGGCCAGATCAATCTACTCTTCTCCATCCACCTCAAGTGGACCAATACTGTCAGCTTCCTCGTCAGGCATCTCAACACTTGATTCAAATTGCAAAACAGAAGGTACCAAAATTCTAGCAGTATGTATTACTGGTGCTCGCGATTGATGAGTTCTTATTTAGTTCTAATTTAAACTAAATGGAGACAAGAAAATGTAAGGATCATTTTTTACTGTATAACTTGGTACCTTTTTTTTTTTTTTTTGAAAACAAAGGAGAGCTGCGTTTCATTGTATTAGAGAGAAAAAAGGAGGGTCCCCATACAAATCCTTCCTCTCATACGGGGACCAGATATGAGAGTCAGGGAACCAAACTAAAAAAATAAGCCTTAAAGAAAACAGAAAACACCAAGACTTGACCACGCCTAAGGAATTAGGCGACCCTTCCAAGGTCTAGACCTTGCAGTTTCTTAGCGCTTGCTAAACACCGAAGACTCTGTTCATCCTTAAGCAAACTCAAGATTGAGTTAACTGAAGGAGAGGCACCCTAAAAAACACAAGCATTCCTATGTTTCCAGATCATCCAAGCCCCTAAAATGATAAGGGAATTAACCCCCTTTCTGTCCTCTTTCTTCACTCTTTTAATAGTCCTGCGCCACCATTCAGCAAAGCTAGATTCATTCTGACGCGGAACCGACCCAGAAAGGTTCAGTGGAGCAAACAGGTTGAACCAAACTTACCTTGCTACAACACATGAAGTTAGAAGGTGTTGTATCGTCTCTTCTTCTTGATCGCAAAGGGGACAGTTATGTGTCTGGGGCAGATCCCTTTTAGCCAATCTATCTGCTGTCCAACACCTATTACAGATTGCCAACCACAGAAAAATTTTGCATTTGTTTGGGGCCCAAGATTTCCACAGCCCTCTCCAAGGTTCAAAAGTTACAGAACCGAAAAAATATGCTCTGTAGGCTGATTTGGAGGAATAACTGCCACTTGCATCTAGCTTCCATATATGACGATCCTCTTGGTCATTCAAATCAAACTCCCTGATACAATCCCAGAGTTGAAGAAATTCACAAATTCCAACCCCAGAGAGTCCCCCCTGAATATCAGAAACCCACCTATTATCTTCAAGGGCTTCAGCCACTGTTCGCTTTTTATGAATTCGGGGAGGCACACAATCAACAACCAAAGGTGTAAGGCTCTCAATGGTGCAACCATGAAGCCATCTATCCGACCAAAAAAGAGTATTTCTCCCATTTCCAGTTTCTGTGTTAACAGCAATAGCAAACAAGGCAAGAGAATTAGGGTGAGAGGGGAGTTCGAGGTCTGTCCATGGGTGATCAGCTCGAGTTTTCTTGTGCCACTGCCATCTTGCCTGCAAAGCCCAAGCCATGACCTCTAGATTGGGAATACCCTGACCACCAAGGTCCAAGGGCCGCATGACCTTCTCCCAGGCGACTAAACAGCATCCCCCATTCGCTTGCTCTTTCCCTTTCCAAAGAAATCCTTTCCTGATTTTGTCAATTGCCTTAATGAACCACTTGGGGACGTTGATAGCGATCAGCAAATAAATCGGCATAGCTGATAGGACAAAGCGGACCAGAGTGGCACGTCCAGCCGTATTCATTAACTCTGCTTTCCAACCTGGTAGCTTATCCGCAATTTTTTCAATCCAAGGCATGAGATCAAATTTCCTCAGTTTCTTGTTAGATAGAGGCAGCCCCAAATAAGTACATGGAAATTCAGAAATATTACATGGGAGATTATCCATGATTGCTGCCACTGAAGCCTCCTCGCAGCGGATAGGGATGATACTGCTCTGGTGGAGGTTAGTCTGCAAACCAGAGGCAGAACCGAAGATGTTAAGGATTTCCTTAGTAACCTGCAACTCCTCTTCAACCGGCTTGGTACCTGTTTGGAGAAGAAACCTAAATGAAAAGGTTGCATTTTTGCTCCACTTACTTTTTCAGAGGCCTAATATTGATCACCAACTAATTTATCAACTGCAGTAACTGAACTTTCAACATTATTCCTCAGTTGGCATCTCATAAAAGTTAAATTAGAATGTTCACTTGTTATACAGAGAAAATATTGATTGGCTCATTTTGGTTTTTGGATATAGAATGCACATGGTTCGTGTGTAAATCAGACATATTTACTAGTGAGTACTTTGGGACATTCTTAGTGCTGGTCTGCTAAAGATTCTAAGAACATTACCTTCCCAGGATTGACATCACATTGAAGTAGAAGTGGTCATACATACCATAGCAGGCCCAATAACACATTGCAAAGAGGATGATATTTCGGTGCTTGATGGCATCAAGTGGGTTATGGAGAAACGGGAGTTGGCATTGCAAAGTCTCCAATAATAAATGAGCCACACAAACCTCTAAGATTGGACTGTTTCCGAAACAGGATGTATGGTTATAAGATGGGTGCTATCGAAACCACAGATGGCAGGAAAATGAGAAGATAAGTGATTAAGCAATTCTATCATAGTGTATTAAATTGGTTATTGTACTAAGTGGTCTTGATTTATTTGCCTTGGCATAATTTCTATTGATATTTTCTATACCTTCAAATATTGTACAAGTGATCAATTATTGTACATACATGATTTATCGTGCACTCCGACCAGTTTCATTAGAGTTGTGGTATCTTTTGTTTTCCCTCCCCTATAGAGTTGAAGACCTGTCCAGAGTTGTCCTACTCCTTTTTATGGTTCCTTCTGCTGCTATTTTTTTGTAAGGACAAATTCCTTGTGTATGGAATTGTGTATATTATATAATCTTGTATGACATTATGACAAGCAGGTAGCTCTTACAGGGCAAAATGAATTGTTTTTAAGTAATTTCTTTTGGCGAATGGCGAAGCTTGCTGTATAAAAAATATATTATTCGTGGTGTCCACTTGCATGGGTTGTTTTCATGTTACATCTCATATACAAGTCAACGGAGCTCCTTTATGCCATGTATAATTGTACTTCCTCCGTTCTAAAAAGTTGCAATTCTAGGTTTGAATTAAGTTAAACTTTCTCGAGTTTAACTAAGTTTATAGAAAGTATCATAAAATATATTTTATTATTTTTGATACCATAGTTAGTATTTTTTAAGATTTAATCAAATTAAAATTGTTGGACTCTTCAAAAAATGAGAATTACATCCACAAAACATACAAGCTTGTTAAGCCCACGAATGAGAAGAAGCACGTACAGTTAAACAACCATATAAGGAAGAAAATGGATGTCTTTTGGACTAGTAAGAAAAGGTTAAATTGCCTAAGAAGGAGGATATTGTTGCCTAAGAAATGACACTTAAATTGTCTAAGAAAAGGCGAAATGCTAACGTGGGGATGCTAGGAAACAGGTGACGCAGGATTCATGAAAGACAAGGTGGCCTATGTCATCAATGCCACATTGTCTCGGGTATGTTGAAGTTTTAGCTCCCAGCTGATGATAGCTGAATCGACTGATCCTAACCAAAATACGAGCCCCTTGTAGATGATTCAACATGTTACCAACCCTGAGAAAACCTATGCTTGATAATGACTTTGCAACCATGGAGATAGCTGATGCTTTCAAGTGAAGAACTAGAACATATGAAACCTCCATCTTCCAACTTCTTTGATTTGGCTACCCCCTTAAGAAAAGATCCACTAGGGGAGTCCAAAAGGTAGGTTTCATCTTCTCTTCTGGATAAGTTAACTATCATAATGACCTTATTATATCCAAAAGAACTCATGTGCGTACGAATGAGTAAGTGATCTAAAATTTCTCGTGAGCAGAAAAACATCTATAACTCTTGTACGGTTAATCCAATGAAGTTGTAGTTTATACCATTGGAAAGCTGGTGGAATTCTCTACAACTCTCTTATAGAACACTTTTCCATATTCTACAGCTAAGTTGGTCAAAAACAGTGCACAACCGAAACTGTCCCAAGTTTCTGACAACACTGATACATCATCTTGTGAATTTCATAACTCCCAAACCAAAATAGCTTTGAAGGTGATCCTTACGGTCAGAGAAACATGTTGTGGTCTATTGTTGTACATAATTTTTCCATGATTTTTGGTTGTCCGAATACAGAGGTACAAACCAAAGAAGACAGGTTGATCTGAAAAGACATGATAGGAAGAACAGGAGATTACCAAAACCCAGCTATTTATTTCATTGATCCTTATACCTTAGATCTATAACTAAATGAAATTGTGGAAGACCCCACAAGATCATTACACTCATTACAAATATCCAAATCAG